ATGAAAAGTCAACAATAGACTACACGGTAAACAGTGTTACTGGTCACAACTGTGTGAACGACAACAACAAAAAACACAAGAAATCATCTATCAAAGTAAATGGTAATAAAAAAAAGAAAAGTCAACAATAGGCTACACGGTAAACAGTGTTACTGGTCACAACTGTGTGAACGACAACAACAAAAAACACACGAAATCATCTATCAAAGTAAATGGTAATAAAAAAGAAAAGTCAACAATAGGGTACACGGTAAACAGTGTTACTGGTCACAACTGTGTGAACGACAACAACAAAAAAACACAGGAAATCATCTATCAAAGTAAATGGTAATAAAAAAAGAAAAGTCAACAATAGGCTACACGGTAAACAGTGTTACTGGTCACAACTGTGTGAACGACAACAACACACGAAATCATCTATTCTTCTGGGCAATATTGTTTCGAAACAAAATGGCGTAACAGCTTTTATTTTGCTGTGCAATTGCAGTGAGTTTATTTTATAGGGAGATTTCAAGAATCTTATTACATCCGTGACAAGTGGGTAATTGTATTTTAATATATCTCATGGCTTCTTTATTAACTGACTTTATGTTTCTTGATTTTTGTGTTTGATAAGTAAAATCGCGCAATCTTCCGCTGTAATTCAATTTATGTAGGATGACGATTTCTCAAGAGCTTATTATTTTGTTTTGTTTTCGGACGTCATAACTAGTAACGTTTGTGCAACTTAAATTTCGCCCCCCTTAATTTGAATTCAGCTTAAGTTAATATACAACAGAACTCTCCTACCTTCCACCCCTCCTCATCTTACCGATTTACTCCAGTCCTCAGTCGTTACGACTTACTGTAATGGCGTTAACCTTTAGCTGCGACGTCATGGGTGGTCCCGGTTCCCCCTCTGGTGTTGCATTTCGTAGGACAATGTGTCTTTATTGTCTGATCAGCTATGGCTACGTTTTTTCAGCTTAGTTTCAGTGTTGCCTTGTCGTCTTACGCTGTGAATTTATGAATCAAGGGCCCTTTTAAGATGTCTGCGAGACAGATAGCTGTAGGTAAAGACGCTCTTACTAGTTCAATATGTTTACACGTGTGTGAACGTGATCGAAGTATTCTTGTTGTTTTTGTCACACTTTTTTTTTATTGGCACTTCTCAACAATAATAACAAAAAATGAAACATTGTTAACGAGATCTGTAATCTCTAAATGTTTACGTACATTTTGATAGTCGGAAGTGTAACAAGTGTATTACAGCAAACGTTGTCTCTTATGCTACTTTGTCAGTTAATCAAAAATCAATGTATATTGGTGCAGCTACGCATGCGCATTTGCCAAGCGGAAAAGGTAAAAAAATAATTTCGTATTCTTCATTCTTCTCTTGTGTAATCGAATAGTGAGGTTGACGTTCACTCTTATAGCAAATACTTGGCCCCCAAAAGTGCGGAACGTGTTTTTGTTTTCTTTTTTTGTCGGCCATGATTCTTAGGATTCCAAGTGAGTGCACGCTAATCACTAGTTCAAGCCTGGGCCAGAAGTAAGTGACACAAGTAAGGTTAAATAAGTCAGCGAAAGTTTAAAATAAAATAATTTTATTTTTCTCGTTTTCTCTCCGGTGTATCCGGGCCAACGCGGCCTAGTTGTTAGCCTGCAGGATTCGGAACGGGTTCGCATCCCGTTATTTTGAAAAAAAAAATAAAAAATCTCACTTCACACTTTGGGGTCGTGGGAGCGTTAAATGATGGCGTTCAAATCCCACTATTGACTATTCAATTAGGGTCGTCCACCAGTTGGCAGTGGACGGTGTTGGCTGTTTTCCCTCTTGTCTATCAGTTAAAAACTAGGAACGGATAGCGCAGATAGTCCTCGAGGACTTTTAAGCGGAATTACACAAACAATAACAACAATCAGTATACCCCCTCATCAGGTGGAGGTCTTAGGTTTGACAGCGAGAAAAACCTGATATTAAATGATTTGTTTGTTTGTTTGTTTTTGAATTTCGCGCAAAGCTACACGAGGGCTATCTGCGCTAGTCGTCCCTAATTTAGCAGTGTAAGACTAGAGGGAAGGCAGCTAGTCATCACCACCCACCGCCAACTCTTAGGCTACTCTTTTACCAACGAATAGTGGGATTGACCGTCACATTATAACGCCCCCATGGCTGAAAGGGCGAGCATGTTTGGTGGGACTGGGATTCGAACCCGCGACCCTCTGATTGCGAGTCGAGCGCCCTAACCACCTGGCCATGCGATATTAAACGAACAGAGGTCGTGTTGTTTTTCAAGATTTAAGACTCGCCTGTATTATGTGGACAGATTCTGTTCGTTGTTAAGAAATCGCCATGTTTATAACAGCAAGGAAAATATAAACATTGTGACCTGTTAGCCACGTGTACAAACATAATATAAATATAGGATGAACAGAGAATCTCGCGTTATTTTTAACATCTTATGAAGTGACTGATGTCTTCAAATTAAAAGATATTTATAAAAGTTTTTGTTCAAGTTGTTGTAATCTAAATGTCGTAAGTCCCAGATTCGACCCGATAATGGTCAGGTGGTTAAGGCGCTCGACTCGCAATCTGAGGGTCGCGGGTTCGAATCCCCGTCACACCGAACATGCTCGCCCTTTCAGCCGTGGGGACGTTATAATGTTACAGTCAATCCCACTATTC